TCCTCCAAGGTGGATACTAATTGTTTTATTACTATTTACTGAATTCCAGTAACTCGATGTTTAACTCACTAATTTACTTCTTTATCTCTGGAATTTTCCCTTTAATGACTAACCTGGAGTTTCTACAAGGAAATTCTGCCCTTTGCTTATAGTATGCTAGCAGATTTTTTAAACTGATGGGTGCTATTAGTTGGGTGTATGCCTGGGAGCTTGCAGACTTACTGAGAGAGTGGGCTACTAAGCTATGAGGATACACACTCTTCCTCCCCCCAAGAGAGAAGGGCTCAAAGGAGAGAGTAAATTTCCTCCCCAGACTGAGGCCAGACAGCAGGAAGGACCTCCTGCCAGTCAACAGTAGTTCGGATGCCCTAATTTTGATGGGGCTCACCACATATGAAACAGATGTTCTGTACCTTACAGAAGTTTTGCACCTTGTACTTCACGTTCCTTTGATAGATTTGGGACTCAGTTGCCTCATTTATTTGGACTTGGGCAACTTAGTGAAGTTCCATATCAGCTTCTTCACATCTACAGATTAATGACACCTCTTTATTTTATAAGGTGAGAAGCCATATTTTGAGAGTTCAAATCTTGGAATCTTTATTAAAAGACCAGTGACTGCATGGTAGACTCCTGTCTCAAAGACAAGCAGCCAGCAAATACACTGAACAAAGTTAAGAAACTGGAGCCCTGGAGTCCAGAGAGGAAAGAAAGAACAAAAACCAATACAAACAAACCAATTCAGCTCCAATGGAGAGCTGAAGTGGGATGCCATGGTGACCAGAGAAGAGCCAGGAGCCAGGAGCCAGGACAGGAACACAGAGATGTGGCATGGTGTAAGGCAACTGAGCTGGTCAGGGCTCAAACAGGGTCAGGTCAGGGGACAAGGATACAGGAAACTCCCAGTCCCAGGTATTAGATTGATAGATTTGGTAAACTATTATCCAAGTCCCTGCCCCTGCCACCTGGGAGGGTTGGGCTTCACCTTCTTCCACCATGAAGACAAGATGCCAGACCCCATCATCCACCATGTGGCCAAGATGGCACTGGTCAGACCTGATCGCCCTATTTCATCTTACACCAAGCATTCAGGATGACAAAATTCCCTTAATTTTCCTGAAATTCCCAGCCCACCTATTCTGCACAGAGCACCAGGTATGAGCAAATAAATACACACACAGATACTGCCCTGGGGCTGCTCCAGATTCAGTGCAAGAGTTGACTTGTAAGTAAGTAAAATGAAGGTCAAGTATGATAGTGTCGGTGTTTCAGGGTGAGCATTAAAGTTCTATTCAAATCGAGCTATGTTATTCTCTTGGGACTCTCCTCTGCCACCCACCAACCCTAATCCCATGTTTTATGCGAGCTTTAAATCAAGCTGAATTCCTCCACACAGTCTTGCTGGCTGCACAAGCCCACAGATACAAAACAGCTGTGTCTTGTTTTGTTCTCTCTTTCCTAAATTGTAATCTAAGCTTTTTAGTGATCACTGGATAAAATCATGTCCTGTTTTAGAAACAAAATGCACAATACTAAAACGCCTTCTGATCTTAGTTGGAAACACTTCAGCTAAAGCTGACTTAATGTTAGGCGATGGAGCAATTTCAAGATCTGAGTTCAGGTAAAGGGCTTCTGGAACAAAAGAAAGACCTCAATTGGGAGACAAAACTTGGATGTTTGTGTGTCCTAGCCTGCTGTGTTAAATGTTATCTCTCTGTAGAGAGAAGCATCAGCAGGCACTCTGTCACCCACCTTGGTGGTCAAGTAACTCTTTGTAAAAGCCTCTTGTTATCAAAGATGGGTTTAAATGTAGCTAAGAGGTTCTCCTTCCACAAGGGCTTTTTTAAAGGCCTGAGAAGAAATATTTCCTGGGAAAGTTTCATCCTGGAAACTATAATAAATACACAGTCACTGCCTCCAAGAGCAAGATAATAATCCCTAACCAGGACTATGGTAAAGTTTTCATGGGATTCAATAGATGGAATTAATTTATTTGCCATATATATAATGCAAATATACACCAGATTGTTTATCTGTACTGTTCTAACTGTCCCAAGTTTTAGGCCTCATTAAGCTCTACTTTATTTGAAAATCTTGTCTTGAAACTTCATTCCCAGGTTACAACTTTTCCTTTGAATTCCTCTAATTTCCATGAGAAAGACCAAATGAACAAAAAGAAAGGTCTCTATTTTCACAATTTTCTTACCAATACAGTGTTTTCTTTAGTACTTTATTATTATATCCCTATATTATTAAAAAAACAAATAACTTCTTGAATCTACCTTAGAGACCACTATTTGGCTCAAGTTGGTTCTTTTTATTCTGCAATCACTGAAGAACTAATGGACAAATATCATCTAACTTTTAATATTTTCTTGAAGTAGAAACAGGGCTGGGGCCAGATCATGAATAAGGTCATGACTAAACTAAAGGGAGGATTTAGGGAGATGATGACATGGTGCCTGTATTCAAATTTTGTGTCGACTTATGAAAAGAAGACCAAATATATAAACATTGAATAATAAAGCAATTTTATGGTTAGAGACTAAACAAGAATAGAGCCATAAGCATTTCTTTGTGCATTCATTTACTGATCTATTCATTATAGATATATGTACATTACATTTTAATCTACCAATCAGCTGTTCTGGTCAAATAAATTAACAAGATAACTGTTCCAGTCATTATAAGAAGACCAAAAGTAATTACTATTGAGTTGTTCACATAGAAGAAGAGAGCAGATTCTTGCAGGTTGGGGGTAGTTGGGAAGAATTTTTATAGTAGGTAAACAGTCCAAACTACATCTTCTGAAAACATGAATTCCACTGCACTCCACACAGTCAAATGAGACTATTAGTTATCTCTGTACAACTCTTATAGATGTCTGAACTTTTGTTACTGTTAGCAATCATGGAGGACAATGTCCATTCCTCTATTTTAGTATTTTATCACAGTGTATCAATTACTGAAAGCCTGCATGCATTGTATCTATGCAGCTTTCTCTGACCATTACTGCTGGAAATAGTGTTCTTCTGGTGAAGTTGTGAATCCCTTGTGATGTGTATGCCCAGACCTTTATCTTGTGTTTTGCTGCTATCCTTCTGTCCCTGTCCTTGCTCTTGTCAGCTTTCCACCTGCCTGTCCACATCTTGATTACAAGGTCTTAGGAAAAAGAATAGCAACCCATCTTCACCAAAATACCACAAAAAATTCTTATCATTAATATTATTCTTTAACTATATTCTCTGCTGAATTCAATCTTACCTTCTTTGAAAGATCTTTCATAAATCAGTAACCATTATCTACAGGATACAGTCATTAGTAAATGAAAATAACCTATGAAAATAACATATGATATGTTGTTGCCACTATTTATTCAAATACCAATATTTTCATAAGAATCTAAGTTTATGGTTATCCCTAACAGTTAGTACAGAATTCCCAATTATTGGAATTCCAAAACAGAATGAAAATGAAAGAATTAAAACCACCCATAGGAAAGATGTCTTGAAGAAAATGGCTGAGAATTGTCATATAATATATGGCCACATTTATGATTTATATTGTTGTAGGCATTAAATGCCTCCATCATCAGGCTATCAATCATTATCTCTGAAACTTGGTGCTATTTGAGTTAATGACCAAGAGAGATATAATGCAGTGTGCTTTCCTTGATGCATGAGTAGTGCATGATTAAAATGAACAGAGACATGGGGTAAGAGAATATAAGTCAAATGACTATCTTATCTACTTAAGACACCTATCACTTCCAGACACCACCGGAAGCTGTTCTCAGAAAGAAGAATAGCTTAAAAAGAAAACATAAACAGTATCTTGATACGGAAATTAAGAATTGTGAGTTATGAGAGAGTATATTCCTCTAACTTTACCACATGCTAATTCTGCAACTGGGTAAATCAAATCTCATAAGCTCACTATGCCATAGTTTTGTCATCTTTAGAAAGGAGTTCATCCTACTACCTCTGACAATGTGTCACTAAAAGTTCTTTACAAATACTATACAAATATAAAATGGTATCATTTTGATTATTGTATCTATATTAGGTAATCTGATTCTTTATATCCTTTTACTCAAGTATCTTTCTCTATGCATACCTTCTTTATGCATACCATCTTAATGAATGTATCAAATAGCTGTTTGTATTTTTTCTATCAATAAGATAGCTACTTACATCTATTTGTGTTATAACTGAGAGGATTTATATGGATGTTTCAACAACTTTCATACATATTTTAGGGCGTTCTTTAGTATAGTTTGTAAAATCAATTTGTCAGATTTTAGGCAAAGAGCAGGAAGAAAGACATTCAACTTCTTTGAAATGTTTGAATGTAACCAATATCAAATTTTGGTGGGCTTTTTATTTGTTATGTTGTTATTGTTGTTTGTGCTGGTACTGGGACTTGAACTCTAGCCCTTATCCTCTTGCTGGAATTTCTTCCTCATAGTTCCTGCTCCACTTACAAAATGCCTCCATTTTCAGTTGTTGCTGGCTATTTAAACATGAAAGTTTCTTGACTTTGTTTGCCTGAGTTGGCTCAGAAGCAATCAACTTTCAGATCTCAGCTTCCTGAGTAGCTAGTATTATACATGTGAGCCACTAGCTCCAGGACCAAATTACTCTGATTTAAAATGTATTACCAGGATTAGGGAAATAGTGTGTGCTAGAGTGTTTCCCTAGAAAGTGAGGCACTGGGTTCAAAACCTGTAGTTTCTGGCTTTATAATTTATGCAAAATAAAATGGATTGGGTAAAGGGCTTAAGAAAATTGAAGAAAATGCATCATTGAAAATTTTCTGCTTAATTTATGAGGTCTTTTCTTTTGCCTAATATGTTCTGATGTCATTCTATAAGCATCATTTGTTAATGCCACTTGCTAATGCTATTTCAGGATTTTTAAGCAATATTTTTGTTTTTGAATCTCATAATCATTGTATCTCCCTTCAGGCTATCCCTTATACCAAAATACATGAACAAGAGCTGTTCAATAATGAAGACCATTTTTAATAAAACACATTTGTTAACTTTTGGAGAGTATATTTGATTACTTCAATGCCCTAGAACTGCAAGTTTTGGACACACTAATAAATCACACAACAGAAAATAAGAGTTCAGATTTTCTAATTCAGCAAAATAAAAATAAGAATTTTAGTTGTTTATATGTTGTTGATCCAACTCTAAGCAAGCTTGAGGGTGTGATAAACCACATACGTTATTCAACTGACATTTAATATGGATACAAAAATTGTAAATCACACACACACTTTTGATGGTCAGACTTGATTTAAGTGTACTTCCTAGTGAGGGCAAGCTGTTGTAGAAAGCTCTAATTTCTTCAGGTCCAGGCAGATGAATAAAGAAACTAGAAGTCATTGAAGTTTTGACATTCATAGATTGCTTAAAATGAATAAATTATTTAAGTGCCTTCATGGAAGAGACAGAAAGGAAGAATAAACTGCTGAGAATACAGGTAGAAGGTATCATTTTGGAAAACCTAAAATGTAAACAAAAAAAATTAACTAACAGATTAAAAAAAAAAAAAACCTCTCCAATAACATTATTGAAATTGCATTTTTCCCCCTGAGAAATAAAGAGCAATACATTAGATTGAACAGTATTAAGTTTTGAGAAGGAGTAAAGGGTCCATGAAAAGATAATTATTGGCTCCCTCCTTATATGCAGCAAACTGATTTGTCCTGTCCTTGTCCCCATCTTTCTCTTGCTCTTCCAATAGCCAGTATATATTCAGGGAAAGGTGAATGAAATACTATAGACAGGTAAAGAAAAGTTCCCCTTGTTTTCTCTTCCTACAAGCCAAAGGAACAAATAAATACCTCTGAAGTTGGAGGGAAAATCTTACCTTAAATAACAAACATAACTTCTTACCTCAGGTCAATGGGAGGGTTAATATTTGTATTTTCAGAAGTGCAACGCTTTACTCTCATGTGTGATCCTATTGGTTTTCCCAAAAGGTGAGTAGGGATGTTTATTTCTTCCATTTTATGCTAGAGGAAAAAAAAAAAAAAACAGACAGAAGTGGTAAGTGGTTTGCTCAGCATCTACCAAGGCCATGTTTTAGCCTTGCAATCTGGGCCTATCTCCTTTTCAATACTCATACTTTGACAATAGTTCTCACCACTGGGCATTTTACAAACACACATATTCAGTATTCCCTTGTGACTGTCATTGTATTATCAAGATCTGTGTTTTCATATTTAGTTAATAAAATATTTTATATATGGAATACTATTGATTAAAGAGAGCTACATGATAAGTAGGAAAATCTATAAGAGAAAAATAGAATTTCATTTAGATGAAATTACTTTTTGAAATTTAAGTCTGAGAAAAAAATTTATTCATGAAATGTTTATCCAAAATATTATTGGGCACCTGCCATATTCTAGACAATGCACTGGGTACTAGGCACATAACAGAAAATAACAAATCCTGTCTGTGCCTTCCTGTTGCCCCGTCTAGTAGATGTGATGGATATATGACCAAGAGATACTAAAGGTCTAATATAGGGTCTGTGGAAATCCAACCTAGTTGGATGTATAGTTAGAAGAGATTAAGAAAGTGAAGTGAAGCATAGTAGGAAAAGGAAGGAAGGAAGGAAGGAAGGGAGGAAGGGAGGGAGGGAGGGAGGGAGGGAGGGAGGAAGGGAGGAAGGAAGGAAGGAAGGAAGGAAGGAAGGAAGGAAGGAAGGAAGGAAGGAAGGAAGGAAGGAAGGAAGGAAGGAAGGAAGGGAAAAGTAAAGGAGGACGGAATTGTGCTTGAGCAAAAAGGAAGGAAATTGATGAGATAAGGAAGCATAATGAGAATTTCACGAAGAGAAAAAATGTTGAATTTATTGAAAGAGATATGGTCTTCTAAGTTGAGAGATATGATCTTCTAAGTTGACATTTCGTGTGAGAAAAGACAGCCCTTAGGATCATGGAACTCAACTCTTGTTAAAATAGCTTAGGTAAAAGAGAAACGCCTGCAAAGGTGTTATAGCTTTGGCACATATATTACTTTGGACTACTTTCTCTTCTTAGACTAAGGTTGGAAACGGCACTGGGTCCATATTTCTATTTTCCAACCTGCTGTGTTTAGATGGAACACAAAACCTGAGCGTCCTGACACCATCTCCTATGGTAACCTCCAAATCTACATCTGCCACATGTACACTGCGCCTTAGTGCACCCTTAAGAGATCATTTTTCCAAACCTCCAAGATGGCAGATTCAGAATTAAAACCTAGAATTTAGGGTCTTTTGTTCATTCTACGGTTCCAAAACACCACGGAGTGTCTCTGTTAGTTGAAGAAACCTACCAATCAATCCATCCTGTTAGACTTCTACTGACACTAAACAATGTAAGAGTCTCCCCTCTCTACCACCGAGCCACAACTCCACTTCCGGCTCTTGGCAGTTTACTTGGAGGTACGGGTCTCTTGCATTTACTTATCAGAACTGACTTGGAACCAAGATCCTCAGGTCTTGGCCTCCCGAGTAGCTAGGATTCCAGCCATGTGCCACCAGCGCCTGGCTATGCCGTCCTTCATTAGCTGGGTTGTTCCCAGAAGAATAGGATCTATTCTGGACCCCAAAACCACCCACCAGTGGGGAATCGACACGGAAGCCCTCGCCCGGGGGAACCTCGCTGAGTCACCTCTCTCCTCTTTCTTCTCCCCACAGCTCCAATGGAAAGTCCGTTACCTGGGCGCAGAACGAGAAGAGCAGCCGCGGCCAGCACCTGTGGCAGCGGCTGTCGGTGCACATCAACAAGAAGGAGAACCCCAACCAGACGGCCGTGATCAAGCCCTTCCCGAAGAGCGCCGAGAGCCGCGGGCCGGGCCCCGGCGCGGGCGGCGCGGGCCCGGGGGCGGCGGGGCGCGCGGCCTGCGCGGCGCCCACAGGCGCCGAGCCTCCGGACACGGGCGCGAAGCCTCTGTTCCACGCGGCGGAAGGCGAGGAGCCGCTCCCCGCGTCCCCGAGCGCGCGCTCGCCCTCGCCTCTTCGCACGCTGAGCCGGGGCCCGGACGAGGACGCGGCCCCGCGGCCGGCGGAGCCCACGGCGCGCGGGGGCCCAGCGCAGGGTTCGCTCATGGAGCAGATCAGCAGCGTGGTGACGCGCTTCACCGCCAACATCAGTGAGCTCAACTCCATGATGCTGGCCCCCGCGGCAGGCCCGGGCCCCGGCGCCCCGCTTTGCTCGTCCTACCTGATCCCCAAGGAAATCCAGCTGCCCACGACAGTGACGACCTTCGCCGAGATCCAGCCACTCCCAGCCATCGAGGTCACCGGCGGCGCGCAGCCCGGGGCGGGGCCCTCGCCTGGGGGGACCGCACCCCAAGACGCCCCGGGGGCAGCTGGGGCCGAGGCGGCGCCCTGCAAGCCCGACCTGGAAGAGCTGGTGGCCCTCACGCCGCCCTCCCCATTCCGAGACTCGGTGGACTCGGGAAGCACCACCCCCAACTCGCCGGTGTCCGAGTCGGCCCTGTGCATCCCGTCCTCTCCCAAATATGACGCTCTCATCATCCGCGATTACACTCAGAGCTCCTCGTCCTTGTGAGTGTGCTGGGGAGCAGCCACGTGGGACGCGCGCGGACGGAGCGTTCGGACCCCACCGCCTCCAGCCCAGCGCGGGGGAAGCGGCCTAGTGCATCTGAACCTGGCCGGCCGTCAGCGTGCTACTCCGCCGCAACCGACCTCGACACCGACCACGAAGCTTTCTCGGCAGATTTCCTTCTAGTGGCCTTAGAAAACATGGGCTTTCAAGAAACACTGCTTGTATGTTTGAGGGCTCACAAGGAGTCTGCTAAAGCGATTGCGAACCAAGTGCTTTGGTCTGGGGAAGCAGTCAGTGAGGACCACCATTGTGGAAGGGGAAAGCATAATTAATAAGCAACTGTAAAAAAATTTTTTTTGTTTGCTTACTTTAATTCTTTTCCCAGAAGAGTCTTTGATTCACCAAACATGAATGTACATTTTCTAACAAACTGAAAATCTGGGACCAAAAATGTCAATCTTTCCCTTCCTTCCTTCCTTTTCCTTCCTTCCTTCCTTCCTTCCTTCCTTCCTTCCTTCCTTCCTTCCTTCCTTCCTTCCTCCCTCCCTCCCTCCCTTCCTCTCTCCCTCCCTCCCTCCCTCTATACTCTTTCCTCTTCCTTCTCTCCCTCACTCCCTTGCATTCTTCCACTTTCTTCTTTCCTTTTTCCTTCCTTCCTTCTTGCCCTCTCTCCTGTTTTTTAACTTCCCTCCCATCTTTCCTCCCTCCCTTCCTTTCTTACTTTTTCTCCCTTTTTCTTTAAAGGCATTGCAAAGCAGTAACTTGGGCCCGGTTTTTACTGAGGTGTGAGTGTCCGTACCTAAACACACAACTGGATATTGAATGCTGTGTGTATGTACCTAGGGCTTCTACTACAGAGGTTCCTCTCCAATTTGGTTGTGAGATGCTCTTCCAAAAGCCTGCACCTGGATGCCACCTAGTTATTTCAGATTCGCTTCCATTAACCAAGAAAACCAGTGGAAGATTTCTTGACTATTTCACCATGTTGCCAATCAATACTGGAGTAGCAAAAAAAAAAAAAAATATTTTCTGGAATACTGTTTTGTAATTCCCTCACTGGGGTGCATTGTGTAGCTGGAAATTCTCTTTATAATAATTCCTGAACTCCAGCCTGGCTATCTCTTTCATGACACACAGTCACCCTGTTCCGTTAGTCTTGCCAGCTAAAATACTAAGAGAATGCATTTGGAGATCCTCCATTCTTTTCTTTTGAGAACCTGATGTACAAAGAGCTCCTCCGTCTTCTCTTTTGAGTCTAACTCCTGGAAGAGTGGTCCAGAGACCTAATGAAGAAGTTGTCCAACTTGGAGGAACTATTGTTGAAAAAAATATTAACAGGATCTTAATACACTGGAAATTTTAAAGTGTGTCTAATCGGTGTAGCGAGGATTTCGCTATTCCAGTGACAGTCATTTTAACTTTTCTTGGCTGCTTTAATGATGCAGCTATGAACTATGGCAAATGTAGATTTTTTTTCAAAGCAATACAGAATACTAAAAACAGAAGAACCCTAATGAATATCAACCACAGTCTTTCTTAGCCATTCCAAAAAAGGCAAAGCAATTATTACTACTTTACTTAAAAATAATTATGGATCTGATTTTGTGCATTTCATACTGTCATCTTTTAACTACTGCAGAAAAGAGATTTAGAGTTATTATTTTAAAAAATGTGCTTTAATAGGCTCACATAGATAGTAATCGCTGCTCAAGACCTGAATCCACCATGACCACTTTATTCCTCTCATTGAAGCTATCCTCAGGTACCAAACGTCCTTGATTTTTAAATAAAGATAGTAATAAAAGGAGGAGGTGTCCTATAAATTTAGTGTTCAGTTGACCCAGCCTTATACTAAAGATAGCCTTATGAAAAAGATTTACTCTGCTCTGAGGCAAAGTATATTTTTGGCACAGAGAAAAATAAATAGAAGTCTTTTGGCTCTATATATTTATTTTGACATCAACTTAAAAGAAATTAAAAAAATAAAAGTCTATTTATATAATTTATCATCCTCCACTTTTGAAAAACTATAATAAATATATTGCTTATTGGCATTTCTTTTCACATACCGATTATTTGGCATTTTAAATCAAATATCCCAATATAAACATTTATCATTCATTGATTTACTACAATATTAATTTAAAAGAAAACAGGTTTCTTATGTCAGATTTGGAAATAACATTAGCAGAGCCTCCTGATTCTAAATATTAATGAGACTCTTGAAATAGAAATGAAATGTAGCTAATCTTTATGGCTTCATTGAAAGTAAATATCTGCCTCTACCTGAAAAATAATGTAAATATTTTGAAATATAATATCCCTGAGCCCTCACATGAAGGTCATTGTTTTGATTTTTTAAGTATTAATACTTTATAAATATGCTCTTTTTAAAATATGTTGTATTAAATTCTTACAATGGTTTTCATTTTATTCTCACGTACAGTAAGTTTCACTTCTTTGACCAACAGGAAAACATTTTTAAACTTTCTTCATGCCCAAATTTCTGTCCTAATATCTTAGTGACATGTTTCTTTAAAAAGTACACCACCTTTTAAGAAATTTCACTATAAATTCAAATGTGACATAAGTAAATTTTCATCTGGTAATATCACAAGATGTTATAATCATAATTTTAAAAAATCCAGTGAGAGGAGAATAAGATGTATTTTTCTCTATATTTCTATAACCTTTACCATTTCATTGCATTGTATATTTGGACATAATATTAACAGTAATACATTCTTGAGATCTTTTATTTTGGAATGATGCTAGTTCTGTCTCTTTGCCAATCCTAGTACCAGGTTCCAAGTAATAATTCTACAATACAAAGAGAAAGGAATAGTTATTTAGGGCTAGGATACGAACTTCACAGTTCACTGGGGGTACTTGTTCTTATTGACTTTCCTTGCAAACAATTTGTTCCTGGTGCCCAGTAATAACTCAGTTTGGAAAGTAACGACAAAAAGGAAAGGGAAAAGTGATCACAAAGGAGAGTCTGGTCCTGGGAAGAAAAGGAGAAAACCTGGTTGTTCAAGTTGTGCTAAACAGTCCACTCGTCTTTCTAGTTTAGGAGAGGGGTTGGACTACCTGGGAAGACCAACAAAAATGTGTGTGGATGACTGTCTTTGGGGGACAGGGGTGGGGAACACAAGGGAGGATGGAAAGGAAAGTCAGAAGAAATTTTCTTGCAGCAAGGAAAAAAAAGCAAATCCCCAAATGAGCTAATCTCTGAAAGTCATAGTCTTCCCCGAACTACTGAGGTAATAGCAAGTGACCAGGAAGACTAGGAACTTTTTCTGATTGTAAATGTATTGTGTAATGGCTCTGCTGAAGTTCTGTGACTTCCATACCAGGAATTAAACACCTTTTTAAGAAAAAAAAAAAAAAACACAAAAAACATTTCCTGTACTAGTCTCTCAGCAAAATGTACATGTTTTGGAGACTTCAAAGGTATTATATGAGTTCACATTTAGCAACAGCTTATTAATAACCCTCAAGCTGTCATAATCTCTATAGTTACCATTTACAATTTTATACTGTGAAAAAAAATTAATGGATCAGTGAAAGCAGAAAGAGTAAACAGAATTTGCCTTGAAGAAGGTCTAAGGCCTGGGAGAGTCTACCGTCTATTGCAGAATGAGGCATGTATAAATAGTTGGCTGACTTCCACTGATCTTCTCAATGTGAACAAATATACTATGTATATTGTGTGTATTTCTAGAATTCAATGGCAGCTGCTGGCGATGTTGTAATTAGAAATCTATATAGAATATAGATGTGTTAGAGAGATGGTGCCAATCCTAAAAGATTTGTGTGGGCTACAAGTGCTTGTACTTACTTTTTCTGCACTTATAACAGATTTGGTTTAAACTTGTGTGCGCGTATCTCTTCTTTTTTCTGTTGTTGAAGCTTGTACTATTAAAATAATAGAGAATGTTAAATTATTTTGATGTGAATTGCAAATGATTTTTTTCATAAAGTATAACATTTTTATCAGCATTGTTTCGCTTTGTACTTGTATAAATGTGTTTTATTTTAGCATTTTAAAAAATATACTTGCCTGTTTCTCAGTTGTCTAAATCATGTTATAGTTGGTGTTTGTGAAGTCAGTTTACTTTTTGAAAAATATTAAAAAAGAAACTATGATATGACTTTAAAAATCTTCCCCTGAAATGCTTAGAATATTTTCCTCATAGACTTTCATACATGACGAATAACCATGCTATTATCTTGAATTCTGAATGATATCCACATTTGCACTGTGAAGTTTATAAAGAAAATGATGACCAATAAATTAAAATGAAAATATAAATTAGCCAAAAGTCAAGGTAGAAATGCTGTCTCCAAAGACATCTACAAACACATTTTAGTTTTTTCAATCACCCTTATATACAAAAGGTTTTCAGTCCAACATGTTAAAAACATAACACATAACTGAATAACTGAATAGAATATTTTTAAATATAATAAGCACTATATTTGTGTCAAGACATACAAATTATAGGCATTGTCATAATTACTTATATGGATATAGATAACATCATGTGATATAGTAGGTACTATGTGTGTCTGTGTATGTATACTGTACAATGCACACACATTTACAAATATATTTTACTTTTCTCTGGAGAAAAAATTTAATTGTCAAATTACTTTATACTTTAATTCCTTAGCAAATTTACATTTTCTTTTCTTTCCTTCTTTTCCTCCCTTTCTCTTTCCCTCTCTCCCTCCCTCTCTCCCTTTCTTTTTGCCTTCCTTCCTTCCTTCCTTCCTTCCTTCCTTCCTTCCTTCCTTCCTTCCTTCCTTCCTTCCTTCCTTCCTTTCTTCCTTCCTTCCTTCCTTCTTTCTTTCCTTCTTTCTTTCTTGTTGTTGTTGTTTGTGGGGATTTGACAGCCTGGGTACTGTCTCTGAGTTCCTTTTAGCCCTACCATTAATGCTGTACCACACTGAACCACAGCACCACTTCAGTTACTTGGTGGTTAATCAGAGGTAAAAGTT